TCAGGCGTGGGGAGCCGGCGCGCTGCGGTGTCTGCGTCCCCTGTGCCACCATGGGTGACACTGCCGGGGCTGTGGCGCTGGCGGGGACATCGTAGGGCACAAGGGGGCTTTGGGTCTGGGTGGAGAATTCTGCGGTGGACTTGGCTGCCGGCGCTGGGGGCACGGCTGGCCGGTGGGAGACCGGTGGGAGAAGTGGGAGACAGCGGCGGGCTGGAGCTCTTGAAGAAGGGGTAGGACTTGTGCGGCAGGGCCTTGCTGTCACTTCTGCCCTGCAGCTTCTCCCTGGCCGTCTGCGCGCTTACCTCAGCAGTGCTCTTGCCCCAGCTCACGTCCTCCGTTTGAGAGCTGTAACTCACGGAGCTCTTGGTCGGGCCGTAGCTTCTCGCCAATCCAGATGTTGCCTCCGGGCCACTTGGAGCTGCAGAGCTGTAGATTCGCGGCGTGCTCACCGCGCCGGTGGCCACCGTGGTGACAGCAGTGGTGCCTTTGCCGTAGGCATATGGAGCTGCGCCGGCCTTGGCAGCCGGGCCGGGCGCAGCCGCGGTGCTGCGCAGCTTGCCGAGGTCTTGTCCCTCTTTCGCAAAGTGCTGGGTGACCCGCACGTCGGGAATGACCTTACCCGTGCTGCCTTCGGAGGCCGAGAAGGAGACGGGAGCCGAGAGCTGAGTGGGGCTCGTGCCGGGCGTGAGCGGCCCCCCGTTCTGCTTGAGCAGGTCGGCATAGGCGCTCTCGGCGTGCAGGAAGCGTTTCTCCTGATACGCCTCTTCCTGCCCCTTCTTCTTCTCTTGCTGCTCCAGAGCCAGGTCAAACGAGGAGGAGTGGTGCATGCGGGAAATGCTCTGCGATGTCTGCAGGATCTCCTCGTACACGGCGCCCGCCTTCGAGAGGCCCCCCTGGTAGTCAGGCTGCGCAGGGCGCCCAGCGCTGCCGTCGTACCTGTACTCGTTCACGTACTGGTACTCAAAAGTGCTCTGGCCCTCGGTGCCGCGGTAGCCGACCTGCTGGTAGCCGCTGTAAGAGACGCCCTGCTGGGCCTGCTGCACCTGCTGCTTCTGCATCATTTCTGCCTTCCTCATCATCTCCTCGTAGGCTTCCTCAGCGCTCTTGAGGGGCTTGCTGGAGGGCTGGCTGGAGCTGCCCTCCGCCTTTTCTGTGGGTGAGTACAGCGACATGAAGGTGGGCAGGTTGTACTCGCTGCCGGATTTGTACAGCTTGGAGGCCACAACATCGAAGCTCTCCGCCTCCGAGTCGACGGAGGGCGAGTACTCGGAGCAGGAGGAGCGGTGCAGCTCCTCCATCTCGGCCGGCCTTCGGTGTGGGGGGCGGCCTCGATGGGCGAGAGGTTGCTGGGCGGTGTCTTGGAGCGCTCTCGCCTCCGCTGGGCCCTCAGCTCCTCCTTGTCGCGCTTGGTTTTGCGCGCCGTGCTCCGGATGCGCTGCTGCTCCACCTCCCGCATCTTCTCCTGCTCCCGCAGGAGCTCCTCTTCCTCGCGCAGCTCCTCCTCCTCAGAGGAGTCCTCGATGGTGGGCAGCAGCGGGCCGTGCGAGCGGTGGCGAGCCTTCCTCTGCTGCTTCACCTCCTCCAGCCGCTGCCTCCGGCTGGGGCTGCCGGCGCTGTCCTCGCCTGCCGGTGGGGCGGCTGTCGCTGTCCTCCTCCAGGGAGGAGATGGAGGTGGGAGAGGTGCCCGACGTGTAGCTGGGCGTCGTGGCTGGCAGCGTGGAGGTCGAGTACTCGCCCCTGGAGCTCTCTTCCGGGGAGCCCGTCAGGCTCTCCATCTCCAGCTCGGGCTCCCTGTCCAGGCTGGCGTCTGCGTCCTGGCTCATCTCCATGTCCCTGCTGTAGCCGTTGGTGCTGTTCAGCTCGATCGTCTTGAAGCGCCGCAGCCCGCCCTGGGCCGTGCTCACGTCGTCGCCTTCCACCGCGTCCAGCTCTTTCCTCTCCTCCTTGTAGAGGCTGCCGGAGCTGTGCGGCAGGCGCCGCTTGGCCGGGGGTGGCTCCTTGCTCTTCTCGGGCTCAGGCTTCGGCCCGGTTTTGGGGACGCTGTATTTGACATGATTGTAGTCCTCCTCTTCCTCCTCAAGGTTGTCCTCCTCGGCGCTCATCTCCATGATCTGCCGCCTCATGAACTCCTCGTCCGTCACCTCGGCCTCCCGGCCTGTGGGCCTGCCCGGCACCGGGGAGAAGCCCCCTTCGCTGCTGTCCTCCACGTAGTCGTGGCGCAGCTTGCTGCCAAACTCATCCGACGACTCCACGCTCTCCCGCTGCTCCCGCTGGTTCTCCCACTCCACGGAGTCTTCGTCCTCTTCCAGGATGTCTTCCAGTTCCTCGTCGGAATCAAAGGCTTCCGGGGTGATGGAGAGGTACCGCGGCCTCTGCCGCTGCCGTTGCTCGTCCCGCAGCTCCGCGTAGCCCTTGCCGCGCTCGCCGGGCTCCGCGGAGGCGCCCTTGGCCTCCAGGAGGGGCCGCATGCTGCTCTCCAGCTTGGTGAGCTCCGAGGGGCTGGGCGGGCTCTGCCCCGCCAGGCCGGTGCTGCTCAGCTTCTCCTCCTCCTGCTGCACCAGGCCCGTGATCTCGCTCTGCGAGCTGGAGATGCCGTCGGACGAGTAGCCGGTGTCGCTCAGGCTCTGCGGGCTGCGGGACAGGTCGGGGGGATAAGGCTTGCTTGCTTCCTGCGGGCGAGAGAAAGCAAAGGTGAGACCTGCCCACAGGCGCTTGCTTTGGGCCCCTTTCTCCCTCTGCTGCCAGGCAAAGCAGTGGGAAGCCCCGCAGCCCAGGCCAGCGCAGGGAGCCCCGAGCGGCCGCCCCGTGGCCCAGCGGCGCCCGCAGGAGCTCGGCAAACACGGGAAGGGGCAGCGGGTGGCTGCCACCTCCCACCGCCACAGCCAGGCCGTGTCATTTGACTCCTTCCCGAACGGCTGGAGTCGGCAGGGACAAGGGGAAGGTGACTCCGCGCTGGGTCTCAGATAGCACGACACTGCCTTAGACTTGGGAAACCCACCAAGCGCCAAGGTCGAGCCCGGGCTCTCCTGCCTGCTCTAACTCTCCGCCGCGCCCCACAGCTCTCCTAGGACACCTCATATTTGTAGCAGTCTCCTTTAACGCTTTCTTTTTGAGGTGAAAGGCTCGCCAAGGAGAAGCTCAGAGTCCCGTCCCCGCTGCTGCCTCCGAGAGCTCCACGAGTGGCTGCACATGGGGGCTCAGCGAGACATGGCACAGCGTGGGGGCACCAGCGTCTGCGCTGGCCGCGTCCCTGCTCCAAGGACACTGTCTGCTTTGCCCAAGGTCTGTCACTCCCAAAGCTGCCCCCTGTGCATCCTGGGGAGGGGATGCCTTGGAAATAGCCACCTCGCAAGCAAACAGAAGGGCTGAAGGCGACGGGAGGCATCTCCCCTTGGGGCTCTGCTCTTTGGGAATGTGCAAAAGCTGCCCCGCTGCGTTACGGAGAACATAGGTGAATGAGTTGTGTGCCCCAATGCTGGAATCCTTTGGATCCGCCAGCGCTTCCCATTGAATCCTGCCCCCAGCAAGGGCTCGGTGCCTCCTGGTCCCTGCTAGCAGGCAATTTGTGTGAGTACTGGGAAAAGTGCATCGCATCCGATGCTCAAAGCCGCTGCTGTGAAAGCAGATGTTCTCCCGAGGATAGGAACTGTTTAACCCACCCTAAGGGGGCATTCAGTGGTATTAGATTATAGGGTGGGAAAAGGAGCTGGATTCATAAATTTGTTCCAGGAACTGAGCTCCGTCAGCGTTAACTCCGCTTATAATTAATACTAAAAGGTTGTCTGCTGGTAATATTGATTTTTGACTATCCACCTGTTTAGAGACTTGTACAACTCCAAACGCAGCTGAAAACCTTGGCATATTTATGGCTCCAAGCCCTGAAGCGGGCAGAGGAGTTTGAGGCGCGGGGCTTCGCACTTGCTCTTGCACCGGCACCGGCCAGCAGAACCCGAGTGCTGCCGTGGGCGCCATGCCAAGACCTGCAGGGTCAGGATCCCTTCGGGATGCCCATCCCTGCTTTGGGGAGTAGCACCCGTGCTGCGCACGTTCGCCGGCATAGCCAGGCCTGCGTCGAGGCCACCATGGCCTATGATGGAGCAAGGACCTTCTGTGTGGAGGCAGCTGCTTTTGGAAGGAGCATCAGGGCTGGAGAGGACTATGGCCAGGGGGCACCTCTCCAGAAGCCCTACCTTGTTCTCCCCAGCGCCCACAAAGCACCAAAAGGCCATGTGAAAAATCCCCTTGGGGCGCTGCGCTGCCCCCAGGGCTCGGGGAGCTTTGCAGCAAGCAGGGAGGCAGCGCTGAGCTTTTAACCGTTCAAGAGAATTGGGGAGCACCCGCAATGAGGCTGGATTTGGGAAGGGCGTGGGCTTGATGCCCAGGAAGGTGAGAGGCTGGAGATCTCGATTCCTGTGCATCCCCCTGGACAGCCTGGCAAAGCCTTGGGAACACCACGAGCACAGTAGCTTCACTGGCAGCATCCGCTGGGCTCCGCGGCCTCTTAATGAAATTTAATTTCCATGATTGACGATTCTTAAGGTGGGTTTGCAGGGCAAGGCAGTGCCAGGATCCTTGTGAGACGCCAGCACAAATAAACCAGCACAAACAAACCAGCACGTTGGTTTAACTGATGTTACAACTAGGTGAGTGCAGCACTCGGAGCTGCTTCGAGCACAGGTGAAGGTAACGCAGCACCAGGGAGACACCCAGGGCATTACTCAATTCAAGCAGAGTCAGCAAACATCGGCGCGGGGTCTCTGCCCAGGCCTTCGCCTCCAGCCTCCACTGCATCTTGAGCGTTTCCCCAGAAAGCATTGAATTAAAGAGAAAAAAAGGTGGGAGGAACAAAGAGCTCACAAAAATACCCTCTCCTGCAAGAGAAGCAAAAAATGCTTTGATGGAAACAAATTTTTCATTTCCTGACAAGGCTCCAATGCCCCTTATCCTTTTAAAACAAGAGGCAGAAGACTGAGTTATTGCCTCATGCCCAAATTCACGTCCTCATAATAAAAATGAGCGGGCTCCTATCTAGCATTTGAAATCCTTAGCCAGAGGTGTTCTGCCTCCTAAAAAGCTTTTTCTTTTTTTTTTTTGCAGGCTGAACCATTTCGATTAAACGGTTTTCATTCTGCTTTGCAGTAAACCCCAGGCACCTGAATATTGCCACCTGCATGAAGATTCACCTGCAATCAGCCCTGCCCAGCACGTGATGCCCCGAGGCGACCGCAGGGTGAGGCCAAACCCGGGCAAAGCTCCTCCAAGCGTGGAGCAGCCCCGGCACCCCGGGGCTCTCCGCTGCCGCCTCCGAGGGCATGACCCTGGCACTCACCTCCTGCTCCTTGGCCCTGGGCGCCTCGCCGGGCGCCCGGCTCTCCTTGCTCTCCGCCTCGGCTTTCGCGGCTGCGCTCTTCCCCTTTGGCGTCGCGCTCTCCGCGCCTTTGGGAGGCTCGGCGGGAAGCTTGGGCAGCGCCTTGTCCTCTGCGGGAGCCGGCGGCTTCTTCTCCGGGGCAGCCCCCGGGGTCCTGCTCTGCTCCGGAGTCCTGAGATTCCTGGCGGGCGACGGGTACCTGTCGGAGGGGGCGGCCGGCTCCGCGGCTCTCTGCTGCTGGCCGCTTCCTGGCGGTTGGTGGCGCGGGGAGCCCGTCGGCGGTTGCTTCGGGGCAGGCAGTGGCATTGGGGCAGGGTCCCCCAGGCTCCCCTCTAGCAGCCTCTGAGTTTGGCAGTTCAAGCAGAGCCACTCGTTTTTCTGCAAAACAGAGGAAGGGAAATGTCAGCCTCAGATTGGGAGGCTTCGTACAACAGGGCCCAGGGGCCTCTTGCCTCCTCTGGGGCTCAGAGGAAGGAGGACCTCCTGCTACACACCAGGGACGTCTCGTCCCCATCCATTCAAGCTTCCCACAAGCTTCCTCCCCCACACCCAGCAGGGCCAAGGATTTTTGGCAACAGCCACAAGGGATTTTTGGCAACACACCTTGGCTGCCCTCGTATCTTTGAGAGGCTTCAGCTCCTGGAGGAACTGCTTGTCCCTGCATGGCCCTTGGAAAAACCTTCTCCCATCCCCTCAAGGAGGAGAAGAGGCCACATCTTCCACTTGGGGCTGAGTTCGGGTTAGCCCAAACATTGTCAAAGCTGGGGACTCCTGCTCAAACAAAGCCACACGAGCAAGTCCTGCTTGGTGCCAACCGCGCCAAGAGCACCGTGATGCCTTTAAGGTCAAGAGAGCAGATGCTGGAGGAAGGACCGAAAGCAACGTGGCCGATCAGCGGTTTCTTTCCTTAATCCCTCGGCCTCCGCAAGCTCCGGCGTGCAGCCGGCTGGCTGTGTCAGTGCGGCCCTCACCTGCTCTGGCTGCCTCCGGGGGCGCCAGCAGGGCTTTGCCGAGGCTCTCCTTGGCTTCGTGTTTCATTAAGGAGGACAACGCGGGGTTGTGTTACCTGCTTTACACCTCCTGCCAACCCCACGGTGCCTGGGCGGCTGACATCCCGCTGCTGTTGTCACAAGCCCAAGTGACCATCTTCTGTGCTGGATGCTCCAAAGGCCACAAAAGAACATGCAACACCCCATGCAGCTCCTCCAAGTACTGCTTCCCCCACAGCTCCTCATCCTTGCCGCAAATATGTGTGAACGGAGCCCTTGGGTCACCTGGGCCCTGCTGCTTGCCTAGGTGTGGTGCCCGCGGTTTACAGCTCCTGCTCAGCTCTTTGCAGTAAGTAAGTCCTGCATCCCAAAATAATGTCTCTTCCACACACGACTTGCCCCGCAGCTCTCAGCTCATTGCATAAATGACGCAAAGAGGGACCTACTACAGGATCCTACCACCAGCAGTTGAGGCAGGACAACCTGAAGGATTTCCTCCCATTGCCTCATTTCTAAGACTTTGATTATGTGCTGAGGTTTACCTTGGCTTTTTACATGTTTCACTTTGACGGCAGCCCATCAGAGCACCTAGGTGGTGACATCTGTGTCAGCACCCTGGATTCCCGCTCAGGGTTTCTCCTCTGGGAAACTGATGGCTTCTCCCACTGCAGCACAGTGGGCTTTTTTCTGCTGGGCAGAAAAAGCCCATCCTAGGGATTTTTCAAAAATTCTGGAAGGCCACCTAAGCTGGGCACTGGGTGAACAGGACTGGGGCATTCTCAGAAGAACAGGAGTTGGAGGCAACAACACTTCGAGTTGGGAGAATAAACGAAACTCCTTTGTCATGTGCGTAACATCCCCAGCTCCTGCTCCCCGTGCTGACCGCGGGAGCCCTGGAGTGCTGTCCCCCACGCTGGGAGCCCAGGGATGCCATGGCGATCAAGCCCCATGGGAATGCCTGGCTGCCGTCACTCTGCTGCGGAGCCATGAGCGCTGTGGAGGATGGCGCCTGGTCCAGAAGATCCATTAGCTCCTGCTGCACGGCCAAGTTTGTTAGCGTGATTATAACCCCCTTCCCGTGGCGAGGGATGTGCTCCGGCCCCCAGGAGACTGATGGCGCGGCAGGAACCGGGAATAAAAATAACGTGTCGGAATCGAGGGAGTTACCATGGCGACACGAGTGCTCCGGATGCGGGGCCGGATGGACGGGCACGCCAAAGGCTGCCGCCTTCTTATCTCCCCGTGCTGGTGCACATCCCTCTGCGGGCTGCCAAACTTGCCAAAGCACCTTGTTAGGAGAGCACCTACAGCAGCAGGCTGCCCAAGGGGTTCCCTGTGCATCCTGCAGAAAGGGAGGCCCCAAGATGAGGGGGAAACCATGTCGTTTGGACCTTGCTTGGAATGGTAACGGTCCTAGTTGTCTCGTGGTCGATGTGCAGTTGAGGATGAGGCAACGCGCGTGCCCTCCCCAAGGGGGATCTGGGGGCTCAGGGATGCTCTCCTTGGTGGTCCAAAAAGACTACAAGAAGCAGCAAGCTCCTGAGAAGGGTCTTCTAGCTGGGGAGAGGATCTCCAGCTCATGGTTCAGCTTGGACACAGTCATCAGAGACAGACTAACATGTCAAAGTCCTTTCCCAGAGCACCTTGACAAGCTGAGGATGGTAAAGAGTGAGCAACTGGGTCTTGCATTGAGTTTCAGGCTGTTTCAGGCTAGCAGACATAGCCAAGAATAACCAACTTTTTTTGACTGAGCGGGCACACATCCCACTGCCTACATCCTGGTGTCTCAACTGCAGAGAAGTGCTGCAGAAGAGCAGCAAATTCACATCGAGAAAATGCAGTCAGGGAGAAATTACTACCCATCTCAGCAAAAATGCATTAAAAAGAGTCTTTCAGGCAGCATGGTGCCGGCCAGCTGCTGAGCTCTCAGAAGATGCTCTTGCATCCCTACAGCTGTTCCTGCAAAAAGGAGCCACTTTCCCCAAGCTCAGGAACATTGTAGGAAATTCAGGTACTCGGAGCTCTCGGTAATTTTAACCCAAAAGAAGGTTTATTTTTTGGAAATGTAGATTGCTTTCAAAGAAATGCAGGTGCCCTCAGTGGGGCAGAGGGCCTAGAAAGGCATTAGGCTGCTCTGAGAGGACAGTAAAGCTTGGCCACCACAGCATAAGGGTGTCCTGGGGACACGGAGCTCCCGGAGCACTGGAACTCCCTGGTCTTTCACCAGGGCAGGGGCAGCACCAGCTCCTCAGCCCAGGTTCTTCCTCCGGCCAGGAAACCCTTCCCTCCTGCATCTCCTTGGATCCTCCTGGCATCCTTGCATTGCAAAGGGAGCTGTTGGGCACAAACTGAACCAGCTAGCGCATCCCCAGGAGCAATTCCCATGGGATGGCTCTTTGCATGTCTTGAGCTGACCTTCCTCCCTCTCCTCTGCCTTGTGAGCAACCGCAGTGTTCCCAGATGCTTTCTAGGGAGAGATACGGAGCTTCACAAGGAGTCCTAGGGAAGGAGAACATCACGCTGCTGCTCCAAGGAGCCTGGGCTCAGGGTCTTCTCTAAGATCTCAGGAGCTTTTTGTGGAGTCTGTATCATTTAAAAAGTGAAACTTTGCACAGCAGCGGTTTTCTTCACCTCTGCTCCAGCCTTCTGCATGGCAAAGGCAACAACTTAGTTTTCATGTAGTCTCCTCATCTCAGGCACGGGGTTTTCAGAACACCCCACAGACCACAATGCTCCTGCCTGTGTTGCACGAAAGGACAACCAGGCAGTACCTGCCAAAAAAGGCCTCTTAAACTCAAGAGGGGCTTAGAGCCTGATCCTCAGCCCCTTCAGGTTTTCCAAGGAGAGATAGACTTTTCCACGCTGCAGGGCACGTAGTGAATCTGGCATCCACTTCAGCATGGGCAGCTTTCAGCAAGGAGATGGCAGCACCCTGTGGGCTTCCCCAGCCAGGTGATGGCTCCCCACAGAGGGGCACCGGGCTCTGCTCTTTGGGAGCTGAAGGGGAAGAGCGAAGCCTAGCAGAATGCCTTCAAAATTATGTTTCCAAAATGATGGAAGGCATAAAGGAACAAACCCTGGGTTTCCTCGGGCTACCCTGGGAAGGGGCTGCTCAGCAGGACAGCCTGGACTCGCTGCCAAAGCGCTGCCCCTTCCACACGGGTTATGCCTGCCCGAGCCATCGCCGTGCAGCCCTCGCGGGCGCAACACAGCCACCGCAAGGACGTGTTCGGCAGCTCCACGGATGAGCTGGATCCTGTGTGCAGCTGCTCATGGGCTCCGAGGGCATCTCCACAACGCCCAGGCCCATGAACACAGCAGAGCTCCCCTTGCTCTGCCTCCTGTCACAGCTGCTGCCTGGAAGAGCAACCCCCACCTGCAACAACTCACAGCTTGGTCACCGACTGTCCCACTCATGCCATTGCCCTCCGTTTTAACCTCTAGCTGAAACTGGTACCAAGCTGCATCTCTTCTTATCACCGATGTGTCTGTGCAAACCTGCTGGAGAGAGCTATGGACTGAAGGGAAGCAGCTGTTACCACGCAGAACAGTTTATCTTGCCGAGCCCTGGCAGGAGGAGGCACACGTGCAGCACGTGAATGGATATTTATCACCAGGCTGGGTGATAAACCTGTCCGAGCTTCCTCAGAAGAGGTCTGTATTTCAGAAAGCACCTCTGCAGCATTGTGACAGGCTGTGTCCACAAGCAAGGGCAGAGCAAGCAATCACAGCAGCACGACTACCAAGATAAAGATTTATGGGCTAGGCCTGATGCTTCTGCACATGGAAAAGCAAACGCGAGTTTGGAAGAAGTGTTGGTACCACTAAAAGCCCAACCATGAAGGGGTTCTTGGCTAAAGACAAGGGCACGTCTCTGACTTCTGGAGAGGCCCCAGCGCTAGAGACACTGCAGCTCTCCCAGCAGCCCTGCCAGCCCCGTGGCTCGTGCCCGGTGTGCCAGGGACCCATCCTTGCCGCAAACCATCACAGCCACAGAGACTTCTCCTCCTAGCTCCGCAGGCACTGCCTTTCCTGGCCCTCACCACAGCGTTACCGGATCCTTCCCCATGCCGTGAACCAGCTAGGAGCCCCTCTGCTCTTCCCAAGTTTCCTCTAGAAATCGCTCTTCCTTGGAGTCCCATTCCTTCTTCCACCAACAAACCCAGCCCTATTTCTTCCCAAAGGGAAGTCAGCAAGAAAAGCCAAGCCTAACTCTGCATCACCAGGGCCTAAGCACACAGTGCCTGCTCCACTGCCTCCCCTTCTACCACCTCGCAAACTTTGGCACCTAGGGGCCTGGTCAAGCTGAACTTTTCCAGGTGGAGACCCTGAGGAGCAGCAACTACCCGGGGGCATCAGTGACATCTCCCCAAGCCATCTCTTCATGGG